TTCAGTAAACGGTGATGTTGAGACTGGCTTTTAGAAATTAACACTCCTCCTATTTCCCAAGTCTCTCTCTTTTGTCCTTTTTCCAATCTTTAAAATGAGATAGAAACTTAGAAATCTGAGGTTGATTTGTCCAGAGTCTAGTGAAAGAGCTAGTCAGATGAGAAGAAGATAGTTTTTACATTTTGTTTCTTATTGTGAGAATATTTTTATTTAGATTCACTATTAGCAGCAGAGTTAAAGCTAGAATCCAGCTCATGCCCCTCCCCTTATTTTTTGGTCCATTTTTATTTTCTTGTTTGTTTCCCCACCTTTTGGATTCTTCAGATAAGTCAATGCTGTCAGGATAGCGCTAACAATAAGCTATTGCTAGTTTTATTAATTTGTGGAATGTACAGTTTGTTAGCTTGCATATGTTAATCTGCCATTATAATTCTCTCCGTGTTCATATCGTCTTTCTTGTATTAGCATTTGTTTACTAACCCACATCTGGGGCTAACTGTGGGAGCGTAATTGAAATGACGTTGTTAGTCTTTGCTGGTGTAGGCCACAGGAACCCAGGTGGCACAGTCTTGGGTAATGTGTTTAATTGCCTTGTTAAGTTATATGTATCTCTTAGACCTTTCATTAAGTAAGTTCCCTTTGTCACATGCTTATGACAATTGCTTTAGGCCAGTAGATTTCAAATTGCCATTACTCCAGGGAACTTTAGAGGTGCTTTGGGGAGTCATAGACTAAAATGAAGAGGAAATCGAAGTTGTGGGATGCAAAACTGGTCTCTGATAGTAGTCACGAGGGGATTGGAAGCAAGATAAAGTCTCATTATCATCCTAGGTATGACATCATTTTAAAAAGGCATCTTGGAGGTTGGTTAAAGGGGAGAAGGAGAGGTGTAGGAGGAAAATGAGGGTTCAGAGAAATCTGGCTGCGAGTTCTGACTATAGGGGACAACATCTAACCCTTATAGTTAATCAGTATTAATCATGTGGCAGACATTGCACTAAACCTTCTAAAAACAGTATTTCATTATGCCCTTATCCCTAGGCATTATCTGTTTCAAAGAGGTAAACCAATTGTTCAAGGCTATATATTATAATTTATAAATAAAGGAACAAAGGATAGGTCTTCTGCCTGGCTTCAAAGCTCCAACTGTTTCTTTTAAAAGATCATACTGTGTTCTAAATATGAGAGATGGAATTTGTTGGCTTCTACTTTTTGTAGTGAGAAATTAATGGGAGCAGGGCCTGGAAAATTGCAAATTGGGATATAGATATCAGGCACTATAGGGGTTGACTTAAGTTGAGAAACAGCTTCTCTGGAGACTAAATGCACTTTCTCTTTTCATATCAGTCACAGAGACTGGTCAATGTTAACTGGCCAAGTCACTTTGTGGCCTGGCTCTTAAGCGTCACTTCCATGTTGAAGGTTCTCATGACCATTAATTCACAATTAAAAATAGCCCCAGGTCCTGGTCCCTGGCATTGGCCCCATCCTCCTGCCTCTTCTCTGAAGTAGTCAGGCTTTGACCTTTAACTTTTCTCCTTCTTGTGGCTCAGCTGGTAAAGAGTCCACCTGCAATGCGGAAGACCTTGGTTCGATCCCTGCATTGGGAAGATCCCCTGGAGAAGAGAAAAGCTACCCACTCCAGTATTTTGGCCTGGAGAGTTCCATGGACTGTATAGTCCATGGGATCACAAAGAGTCGGAGACAACTGACCGACTTTCACTTGCACTTTCCTGCCTCTTCTCTGGACCAGTCAGGCTTTGATCTTTAACTTTTCTCCTTTAGACCCCTGACCTACCAACCATGTCATTTGCCTGCCCATGTATCGGGCCATGTCTCTTCCAATGGAAAATGGATAGTCAGGTACATGTACTAAAGTTCTGCTCACATAGAACATTACGCTCCCCACTGTTCCCAGGGGGCACTCTCAGGGTGTCTTCAGTTCAGAAGTAGACCATTTTCAGCTTCAAACCACATACCAAGCCAGCCCACGGCGAACCAAGCCTAGCTCTTTCCTTCCTCAGTCCGCCGGTCACATGGTGTGAGCAGTGGAGGCACCCCGCAGGAGCGGCGGGCGGCCTGAGGGAACGGACCGCCTCCTTAGAGAGACTACCGGAACCTCCTGACCGTGTCCTCCTTGCTTGTCCTTGTCTAACTGTGAGCTCCTTGAGAGCAGAGAAGGTGACTCTGAAAACCCAACCCCCAGAAGAGATCCTGACACACAGTGGGTCTTTAATAAATGCTTCTTGAAATGAAGTTAATGATTAGAGGGTGACAGAGATAGGACAAAGAGCCAAGTGTACACACCAGTTCAAGGTGTCTTCCACCACATATGCTGAAATAATCACCCATGAAATTCTTAGTGGAAGGGCTGAGGGGCAAAAAGGGTGATGGATATAGTGGAAAGTGAAAATGTTAGTCCCTCAGTCGCCGACTCTTTGCAACCCAATGGACTGTGGCTCCTTGGTCCATTGAATTCTCCAGGCAAGAATTCTGGAGTGGGTTGCCATTCCCTTCTCCAGGGGATCTTCCTGACCCAGGGATCGAACCTGGGTCTCCTACATTGCAGGCAGATTCTTTATCATCTGAACCACAGGGAAATCCAGATATAGTCAGGGCACGGGTGTTTCTCTGTGAGGCCTTGGTGATCATCCTAACTGATCAAATGACCTACTTTTAAGTCTGGAGCTCCTAGCTCAAGTAAACCCACAGAACGACCATAACTTCTGCCTTTTCTAGTTCTCTTTGCAACCCAATCTGTGAGAGGCTTCAAGCACCAAAAGAATCCAAGCCAGGTCTTCCTCCTTTTCATTTTCTTTTTACTTCTTCCCTCTTTTAAAAATGTCTTCCCTTGTGAAGTATTGCTGAGAACACAAAGACTGACCAGATTGTCACATAATTAAATTAAATGCTCTTAACGTCTGTAATAGAGATTATTTAATAGTGTAAGTGAGGAAAGTGAAGTCACTCACTCATGTCTGACTCTTTGCGACCCCTAGGGGCTGCAGCCTCCCAGGCTATTCGGTCCATGGGATTTTCCAGGCAAGAGCACTGGAGTGGGGTGCCATTTCCATCTCCAAGTGTATAGTGAGAGGCACTGGGATTAGAGGAGTCCTCCCCAAAGAGACTTGAAGGTTAAGAAGACTTTGTTAGAAGTGCAGCCACACCCTGCAGATGGAAAGGAGTGTGGCATTTTGTAGAAAGTGACTTAAAATAGCTGGAGTCTAGAGCTGGAGGAGGAAAGATAGTGAAAGTGAAAGTGAAGTCGCCTAGTTGTGTCCGACTCTGCGACCCCATGGACTGGAGCCCACCAGGCTCCTCCATCCATGGGATTTTCCAGGCAAGAATACTTGAGTGGGTTCTTCTTGACCCAGGGATCAAACCTGAGATGGAGAAGGAGATGTACCCAGTTACAATGGCGAGTTAGGTTGATGTCAGATCATGAAGGGCTGTTGCAAGCTGTGTGAATTTTTATCTTTATTCTTAAGAGAGTTGAAGAGACATGAAAGTATTTTAAGGAAGAAGTTACATTTTTTTAAATATCAGATTTAGAATTTGTTATCATTATAACTAGTCTGGAGAGGAGATTGGAGGGAGGCTAGAGAAACTGGGCGGGGCGGGGGGGTCTAGTTAGGCGGCTATTGTTAAAGGGACAAGATGGCTTGGATTAAGTTGGTGGCGTAGGGAGAAGAGGAGTGATTCGAGAGAAATAGATTCAACCTGATAATTAATTGGAGGTAAGGCCCAGGGAGAAGGAGATGCCAGTTTTATGGTCCAGTTTTCTGGCTTGAGTAGTTGGATGATGGTGCCAGCTACTGAGCTCAGAATGTAAGGAACAGGAGCAGATAGAAGGACCAAAGCATGATACTCTGTGTCTTGCTCATATTCACCTGTTCCAAGGTTTGACGCATAGACAGATCTTCTTGGAGGTTATCATTAAACCCACTACAGTTTCCCTAGAGAATTCCTAACTGTCTTTCAACACCCACTCGGAAGTCTTCCTGCAGTGAAGCCTCTGGACGTCATCAGACCACAGGGCCCCAGAGTCCTCGCCCGTCTTTGGTGCCAGTGCTGTTCTTGTAGAGTTGTCTGTTACAGCACTTGCCGTATTTGACTGCAATTTTTGTTTTTCTGTCAGTCTCCCTGTAGGCTTTGAGCTCCAGGAGAGCAGAACCTCATCTTTTTTTTCCTCCGTGGTCCCAAACCAGCCATTGCATATGCTCAGTTAGTACTGAATCGGATGATAAGAGAGGGACTGGCTGGCATGGTGTCTAGAAGCTATGCTCTCAGGCAAGAGTTAATCTCTTGTGTAGAAACCTCACTGGGGATGAGTCATATTTATACTGTCTTTTCGTACTCAGTACCTGAATTTGTCATGGTAGTCAGACAGTTGGAGGTTTGAAAAGAAGTCTCCCTGGAATCCTCAACGATTAACAAAAAAGTGTTAGTTCATCATCAGTCACTGTATGGCCTGGAGGAAGTCATTCATTACCATCTCAGTTTTTCTATTTAAAAAATGGAGGGGAAAAAAAAAAAACTCTTTTTTTTTAAACTTAGCTCCTTGTATCCTAAGAGCTTTACTAAACAGTCCTGACTACCTACTACATCACACAGCCACGAAGTGACAAAGCCAGGCCTTGAATCCAGAGCTATCTAATTCCAGCCGCTGAACTGTACAGATTATTTTCACTCACAGTCTAGCAAACATAACAATGAAGACATCTAGTGGACGAGACAGTTGAAATGCAGCTCAACAAGAGCAAGCAGAGACCACCAGCAGAGTCATAGATTCACACAGTACAGAGTATGCTGAAGGCACAATGAGTTAAAAAAAAAAGAAAATCATCAGGAAATGTTCTATCCAGTCAACTCCTGAACTTGACACGTTTGTGTCTAATAGATTTGCCTGGATTCTATTTTAGAATACCCTGGGAACACTGGGGCTTCTTGCTTTGAAGGGCATTACAATGATTTCTGGTTATTTGTTTCTCACTGTTCAGGTATGATCTGGGCATGTGCGTCTGTGGAATTATAGCATCACATCTGATTACAATGCCGTAAGTTCTCAGTCAAGCACATGGTGTACAATGAGCTCAATTTGTTTTTATTCAATGAATATTGCTTTTGATTTATATAAGCTCAATTGTCAGACATGACTGAGTGAGCACACACACAAAATTGAAGGAGCAGGTGATATGGTAGGGCAGCAAAGGGAGGGAAGTCTATATAGATGTATAATTTGACTTGAAATTTGCTTTGCTTTTTGACTTTAGGTGTCTAGTCAGTCTAAATTTCAGGGCATAATTGATGGCACCATGAGTAATAGGGAAATAATTTCTTAACACCAACACAAAGGTATTAGCAAACAGGCAGGACAAAAATAAAACAAAGGTGACTGAAAACAAACTTAGACTACGTCTATTTTGGAAAATTCAAGTTGCTTTGTAAAACCCCTGATGATATACTTTCAATTTTAGGCTAGAATACCCTCCTAAAGGGCTTCCCTGATAGTTCAGTTGGTAAAGAATCTGCCTGCAATGCAGGAGACCCCGGTTCAATTCCTGGGTTGGGAAGATCCACTGGAGAAAGGATAGGCTACCCACTCCATTATTCTTAGGTTTCCCTTGTGGCTCAGCTGGTAGAGAATCCACCTGCAATGCAGGAGACGTGGGTTCAATCCCTGGCTTGGGAGGATCCCCTGGAGAAGGGAAATACCCACTCCAGTATTCTGACCTGGAGAATTCCACGGACTATATAGTCCATGGGGTAGCAGAGAGTCGGAGACGGCTAAGTGACTTTGACTTCACTCTCCTAAAGTGAGAGCAATAAAAGTCAATAGAGCCATGGATGTGAAAGGAAAGAGTGTTTATTTATTGCCTTCTTAAAAAATCACACAAGTGTTTTGGAATATGTTCTGAGATTGTCACTGTATATGACACTTTGAATACATTGTATTCAAATTTATGGGAAGGCATTTGAAAATATGTACAAATGCATCTAGAAAAAGGTGGGTCTCTGCTTCTGGGGAGTGTTTACAATGTTGTTGTTGTTGTTGTTTGCACATTCTGATACTCTAAAATTGAGGTAGTATTAATAAGATACATACATGGGCTTCCCTGGTGGCTCAGTGTTAAAGAATCCACCTGTGATGCAGGAGGCACAGGTTCAATCCCTAGGTGAGGAAGGTCCCCTGGAGGAGGGCATGGCAACCCACTCCAGGATTCTTGCCTAGGAAACCTCATGGACAGAGGAGCCCAGTGGACTACAGTCCATGGGGTCAGGAGAATATACATTGGACAGTATCAACAGCAGATGCTTGTGAAGCTGGAGCACTGAAATTGGAAACTGGATCTGTTTGATACAAAGAACAATGACCTTTCCATTATTCTGGGCTGCCCATAGTAGCTGGATCCCCTAAGATTAACTATCTACTCTAGAGTTGGACACTCCTGTAGCTATCCCTCCTGATTATTTTTCCTTTTGTAGAACAGCAAACACACCAAATCACCTGGACCAGGTTATGAATCTGTACCCAGAAAATCCAGGTCAGTGTCTTTGTAGGATGACACAGAGATATCACTTATAAACCTAGGTAGGTGAATAAAGCTTGCCTATTTCTTTCTCAATAGTTAATGATTAACCAAGCAGCATCCCCAGCCAAATGTTGGTGCGACACTCCCTGTCTTTCAGGATTCTCAGAGACTTAAGGGTATGCACAGGATCAGAAGAAATGAATGTACAGTGCAGATTTTTTATACTACACTGTAATTTTCATTTATCTATTTATTCAGCTAGTATATATGGAGCACATATTATGAACCAGAAATGGCTCACATTTATCTGGATAAATTAACATTAAAGCAACATTATATAAAATCATACTATATAAAAATTAATTTTAATATATACTTTTAATGGCATAATATACTTTATAATAGTTATATAATATTTGCCTATATACTTAACTTCTTATAAACAAGTATTGACTTTAAGCTATATTTATAGCTAACACACAGGTGGCATGTACACACATTATCACTAAATGTATTTTTATTATTATCTCCATCTTATAGACAAGGGCACTGAGGTTCATGGACTGTAAGTGAATTTCCTGATCAAGCTATTATTGGTAACTAAATTCAGTCTTTTTTTTTTTAATTAAAGTTTGTCAGTCATATCCTTATCTGAGGTCTATAAGGTTTAACACTGAACAAAACCCTAGAGCTGCCTAATTCTAAAACACATGCCCTTCAGTCAAGAAGTGGCCGTCCAGTCCCCAGGTTCAGTCTGTTGTGTAATTCTCCTCCTCTGTCCCTCACTTATTCTTTTCTTTCTTTTCCTCTTTCCTCTCACTCTTAACTTCCTAGGTGGCACAGTGGTAAAGAATCCACCTGCAAATAGAGGAGACACAAGAGACAGGAGTCTGATTCCTGGGTTGGGAAGATCCCCTGGAGGAGGAAGTGTCAACCCACTGCAGTATTCTTGCCTGAGAAATCCCATGGGCAGAGACTAGCAGTCTACAGTCCATAGGATCTCAATGAGTCAGACTGAAGCAACTTAGCATGCACACACACTCCAGCAGGTTTGTTGATATTCAGAGTCCCCAGAAATTCCAAGGCAGATTTTATTTCTGTTAATTGAAATGATTTAAAAGATAGCTGGCACCTTGCACAGAGAGTGAAAGAGGATAAAAACATCTGGGAAGAGTCTATAGTTAAAGGGAAAAACTCGGTTTTGATTTCAAGTTCACTGGGTTTAAGGAGGACAGTAGTTGTCTGTCAAACACCCATTTCCTGTCACTAGCTGTTGTTTCCCAATGACATAATTCAGTGGCTACCATCAGGCACAAGTTAGATTCCCAGAAGAGAATCAGTCGCTTGAATGACTACACTGTAGTTCAGGGGTTGGCAAATTTTTTTTCTATAAAGGGTGAGATACAAAATATTTTGGTCTTTGTAAGCCATGCAGTTTCTCTCAGCCCCTCAGCTCTGCCACTAGAGCTCAGAAGCAGTCACAGAGGATGTGGGAATGTGTCTTATTTCTGCAGAGAAAATCAGAGAAGGCCAACATGCCAGGAACAGGGCTGTAGGGGGTGGTTTTTGATGGGTAATGCATCTGCAGAAGTAGGCAAGGAATGGATTACAGGAGATTTTAAAGGAGAATTTGGCTAAGAAATGTTTACATTTTCTCCAAAGCAGTGTGAAGCTAACCAAGGTTTTTAAGCAGCTGTGTGACATAATTGAGTTTGCATTCTGAAATACTTAATCTGGTTTGCAGCAGGGACAGTAGATTAGACCACAGCAAGGGTAGACTCTGAGGAGTCTTTGGAAGGCCTGTTAGTAGCTTGGTCTAGATAGTGGTAGTGAAGATGGAGAAAAGCAGGTAAACTCAGGAAAAGGTAGGAAGTTAGATTTGATTGGACTTGGTGATGGATGGGTTGATTGTAGGGGGTGAAGGAGGCCTCAGTGAGGGCAGGGCCAGCTTTCTGACTTGCAAACTAGATGGGGGTTGGTGCCATTCACTGTAAGAGGAGATTCAAGGTGGCGTTTGAATATGCTGATCAAGGAAAGTGAAAGGGTTTGCTTTTGCCACATTTGAGATACTAAGTGCGTGTGCTCCTGAGTCAGGTGTAAGTCTAGGATTCAGAGGTATATTCTATGCTAGTGATAGAAATTTGCGTCATTGGCATGTAGTTGGTTAGGGAACCGAGATATTGATAGATGGAATCTCTTAGAGAAATAATATAGAGAAGAGTATATACCCATTTGTTCTTCTCTAAATGGGGTCCAAGGACCCCAGAGGAGTATCCTCTGTGTCCAGAAATGCTCAAGAAACATAAGCAGGTTTCACGTTGTAGGACCCACTCAAATTCCTACAGCGGCAATTTCATTTGCATCTTTGGAGTGGGGAGTCCTATGGGGCCAGACACAAAATTCATCAGGCAAGCAAAAGAAGGTAGCTAAACTATGTGTTTGAAGCTGTTGCCTTTGGTGAAAACCTCAGTTCCCCAGCCTGGGGTGTGAGAAATAACCGACCAAGAGGTTGGATCACAATTATAGCTGCTTATTAAACAGTCATTCCTTTTCCTTCCTTTCCATGTATATAGTCATTGATTTAAACAGGGAGGGAAGAATGTCCGGCATGCGTGACACCTGCTTGGTGACTCCAAAAATGGAGTTGGTGCACTTTAGTAGATGAGAGAGAGGGAAATTGACTGAAACCCTGCGGTCTAGCAAATGGAAGTGTAATCCAAATGCTTCACAAGTAGCAAACTGAAATGTAGGATCCCAGCAACGTGGGAGGGCTTCCCTTTCTCCACATTTTGGTCAGCAGTTTCTTTTTCCAGACTTTTTCATGGTGGCCATTCTATATGTTCCCTAGTGATTGCTTGTTGTTTCTGTGAATTGAATTTCTCTACCAATAATTGACATTTAGCATCTTTTCCTGGGCTGCTTTTTTGAAATCTGTATGGATGAAATTTATATCTTCAGATAGTCTTCTTGAAAGTCCACCCTTTAATGAATTCTCTGTTATATACCCCAGGACATTTGCTGAGGGCAGCTGTCATTTACAGCAGGAGAGGCCTTTTGAATGGGAAGTGACCTTTGTTGTTGTTGTTCAGTCGTTCAGTTGTGTCCAACTCTGCAACCGATGGGCTGTAGCAGGCCATGCTTCCTGTCCTTCACCATTTCCCTGAGATTGCTCGAACTCATGTCCATTGAGTCAGTGATGCCATCCAACCATCTCATCCTCTGTCGTCCCCTTCTCCTCCTGCCCTCAGTCTTTCCCACCATCAGGGTCTTTTTTGATGAGTCAGCTCTCTGCATCAGGTGTCCAAAGTATTGGAGTTTCAGCTTCAGCATCAGTCCTTCCAAGGAATATTCAGGACTGATTTCCTTTTGGATTAACTGGTTTGATCTCCTTGCAATCCAAATGACTCTCAAGAGTCTCCAACACAACAGCTCAAAAGCATCAGTTCTTTGGCATTCAGCATTTTTTATGGTCCAACTCTCACATCCATACATGACTACTGGAAAAATCATAGCTTTTACTAGACAGACCCTTGTAGGCAAAGTAATGTCTGCTTTTTAATATGGTGTCTAGGTTTCTCATAGTTTTTCTTCCAAGGAGCAAGCGTCTTTTAATTTCATGGCTGCAGTCACCATTTACAGTGATTTTGGAGCCCAAGAAAATAAAGTCTGTCACTGTTTTCATTGTTTCCCTGTCTATTTGCCATGAAGTGATGGAACTGGATGCCATAATCTTAATTTTTGAATGTTGCGTTTTAAGCCAACTTTTTCACTCTCCTCTTTCACCTTCATCAAGAGGCTCTTTAGGTCCTCTTCCTTTTCTGCCATAAAGGTGGTGTCAACTGCATGTCTGAGCTTATTGATATTTCTTCCGGCAGTCTTGATTCCAGCTTGTGCTTCATTCAGCCCGGCATTTCACATGAGGTATTCTGCATATAAGTTAAATAAGCAGGGTGACAGTTAAATAAGCAGAAGTGCCATTAGGCACTGGTTTTCACGGTGTAGTTATGCCAAGCAGCCACAGGCAGCAGGATTTCCTCCTGCCCCACCCAGCTTGCCAGGGCAAGCAGAGCCTTGGTGAGAGTCCTCCTTCTGGCTTGTAAAGGAGAGCCGAATGTGCCAGGACAAAAAGCCAAGGCCTGGCGTCTCATTTCTTCCTCCCACTTATTTCTCACCCCACTGGAGAAATCCCAAAGCCTGAAGAAGCTCTGCTGAGGGTGCTGTGTTCCGTCTGAAGTTTGGGCAACTCTAAGGAAGGAAGCCAGAGGTGGGAACCCCAGCACCAGGAGACCTGGAGACCAGGTGACTCCTCCGCCTTGGTTTAGCTGTAAAAGGTTCTGCTTGTTCTGGACACTCGTCCAGTTCACAGGGCTCCAGGCACTACAGGTCCAAGGGGGTCTCATCTGCTGGCACATCCTTCAAAGCTCCTTCAGCCACAAAGTAGTCCAGACTTGGGAACCGAGGCTCTTCAGGTGCCAGGCATGTGAGCTAGCCTAGGACACCGAAGTTTGAAGGGAATATGCTAGGCATTCCATTTTTTAAAGTCAATTTTTAGGTTATATTGGCATATGGTGGGTTTATTCTGTTATGTTGGTTTAAAGTGTACAGCAGGTTGCTTAAGTTATATGCAGACATTGCTGTACTTGTTAAGAAAATGTGCTTCATTTCTATAAAGTTTTAGTTTCCGCCTATCAGTCACAATTGGGCTTCCCAGGTGGCACCAGTGGTAAAGAACCTGCCTGCCAATGCAGATGATGTAAGAGACATGAGTTTAGTCTCTGGGTCAGGAAGATCCACTGGAGGAGAAAATGGCAACCCACTCCAGTATTCTTGCCTGGAGAATCCCATAGACAGAGGAGCCTGGTGGACTATAGTCCATGGAGTTGCAAAGAGTGGGACACGACTGAAGCAACTTAGCACAGCACAGTGCATCAGTCACATCATAGGGTGTTTGTCTTTCTTGCTATGAATTGCATCACTCCGTAAGATCATCTCCAAGTCCATTTCTGTTGCTGCAAATGTCATTACTGCATCCTGTTTTCTGGCTCAATAATACTCCCTTCAGTATATGTACTACATCGTCTTTATTCATCTGTCCATGGACATTTTAATTATGTGTATGTTCAGGTATTGTAACCCACTCCAGTACTGTTGCCTAGAAAATCGCATGGAAGGAGGAGCCTGGTGTCCATTGGGTCGCAAAGAGTCGGACACGACTGAGCGACTTCACTTTCACTTTCAGGTATTGTAAGTATCATTGAATGAAGGTTGCATTTGTCATTTAGAGTTAGCGTTTTCTTCAGATATACATCGAGGAGTGGGATTAGGGACCATTTGGTAGTTCTTTTTTTTTTTTTAATAATTTACATATGTTTTCTGTAGTGGCTCTCCAATTTACTTCCCCACCGGCAGTATAGGAAATTTCTCTTTTATTTACACTGTTTCCAGCGTTTGTTATTTGAAGTGTTTTTCATGATGGCCATTCTGATGTGTATGAACTGATACCTTCTTGTCATTTTGATTTGCATTTCTCTCATAATGTGTGATATTGAGAATTCTTTTTTATATTGAGCTGCATGAACTATTTGTATCTTTTGAG